GGTTTTTCACAGTCACAGGATGGTGGAAGCAAATTCCACAGACTCCAAGTTGTGCCTGTGGCCTGAGTCACTGGCGGGTGGGACGTGGGGGTGCATGGCAGTCAGTGAAGCCCGACTGAGGAGCCGGGCCTGCTGCACTGAGGAGCCCCAGTGCCTCACTCCTCAGCCAAGGGCTGCCGGGAGAGCCGAGCAGGACAGACTGGCCTCCAGGGGCTTCTAACCTGATTTCAGCAGAAAGGACTTTGAGGTGCTGGCTCTGGGGACCCATGACCGGGATACAAATTTCCTTGTCAGTCCAGTGTCTTTTCCAGCTTTCCTAAAGCCCTGGCCCATGTCTCTACCCAGGAAGTGGGGGGCCCTGAGGCCGCTCTGCTTTATTAGTACTTTCAGGGCACTTTTGCTTATTTGGAAACCAGCTCTTCAGACAAGAAAACCTTGGTCTCTTTAAAGAAACATTAATTAAGAGAGACGCCAACAGTTTTCAAAATATTGTGCAGGAAAACTTTGTTCCTCTTAATGAGTGTTAAAGGGCTATTAAAACTGCATTTGTCGTTTGTAAACTCGTAGCTTATAAAGGCCTTTCTCAAACCAAATTACTAATGAGGTAATCACCAACATAATAATTACTGTATAATTACTAAGGGAGTGGGAAGGAAAATGTGGAGCAAAATAGGCAGCCAGGAATTTGGTTGTTATTTCAGAGATCTGTGAAGGTCACTGGACTGAGTTATCAGTTCACAACCTGGAAGCTCTATTACCAGAGTGTTGTAAGGATCACTAGTTAGATGGTAAAGGAGTGACCTTTCAACTACCCCTGGGCCTGGAGACTTCTGGCTGGGCAATAACAGAGTCTCTGTGAGCAAGCAGAGTGAGCCGGAAATCCTTATGCATCCCATACTTCCCAGGAGATCTTGGGCAAGGGAGTAGAAATGTCTGAACTTCACCATATGGAAGTGAAGCAGGAAAATGTACCTCACAGGTAGGCTGTGAGGACTGAAGATGTCAATGCCAAGGTACGAGTGGCATCTGATGCTTAGTGAATGTTAGTCTTCCCACCCCTTCAATTTCCAGCCCCAGCTTATAGGGCACCTGCCTGCGACAGCACTACTCAGTCAGGTCAAAGGACTTAGCAATAGTTTGATAAATTTTACTCATGTATTTTCCCTTGAAACTGCCCAAATCACTTCCAGTTAGCCTGTTAGTTTATAGTTTTAAAAAATGAGGTAAAAATAGAAACCCCTGGGGATAAATCAGGAATTTGAAATCACACAGTTGTATCATGGCCACGTTGTGATTGGAAACGTCTTGCAGTCTGAGGACTTGGTTTTTTGGTTTCAGGGCTTTCTGTGTGGTATCAGAACATCTGTAACATTAGCCTCCCTAAGCAGCTGGCCTAAGACTGGCCAAGCTGCAGGAGGTAGGGCTCTGGGGAGGTGTGTTTATTGTACACGTGCTTATTACCTACTCAGCAGATGTGACCGAGGCCAGGAGCTGACGGGTAGGATTCTGAAGCATGGTAAAGCCTGTACTTGTAAGAAGTACATAAAAATCTCTTTGTGAGCGTGTAGAACTTTACCCTTTATATTCTAGAAGGTGCCTAGCATTGTTTCCTCTAGGCTGTCTCCAACTTCAGTGTTTCTAGGAAACACACAGGGTAGGACTGAGGGACTTGTTAAAAGGCAGGCTCCTGAGCCCCACCCTCAGAGTCTGATTCTGGCTCCAGGAAGCTGCATCTTACACAGGTACACCAGGTGACCCTGTTGCAGGCTCATGTACATTGAGAGACACACTGAGATATTTGCTTGACCTGCCATCTTGGGATATAAATGGAATAAATGAGTATTTAAACGATGTTGAAAGGGTTTAAGTAATTTTCCCAAGGTGGGTAGCTTGCCAATGAGTGGTAGGAGCTGGGCTGCTTGCTCTCACGTGCCCTGCTGGAAAGCCATTTCTTCCATTAAGGCTGTGTCAGAGCGAGTATTGTAAAAACAATCTCTTTTAACACCCAAAGGATGCTTCTCTTTTGTTATCTACAACTTTTACCCTATAGCATTGAGCATCTGCCTGGCCTATGAATTAGACATGTCTTCTTCCTCTGATGTTTTAGCATCTGGGGTCTTAAAGATCCCAGGAAAACTGTCCCTTATCCCCATCCCAATTCCTAGAGACAGTAAGCAACTAGCCTGTGAGAATGCCTTTCATGTGCAAACAAACCCATGCCCATTCCCCAACCATCTCCTTTATCAGGCTCTCACAGGGTCTTGCATTTGGGTCACTATCCTGTGTCCTATTGCTTCTAGACCAGGTTTCAGTGCACATGGACAGCCCCTAAGCCCCAGAGCAATCTAAACTCTTCAAACTAGCCAATCCTCAACCTGCCTAGCCTGCTTACCCTACCTCACCATTCCTTCCCGAGAAAACCAAAACAATGTCTCTTGCCCATGCTTCCCCAACTGCTTCCCGTGTGGCCTAGTGTGGCCTGGTGTTTCCTGAGGGGAACAAACTATCTTCCCAATTGGTCTTCCAATACCCAAATAATAAAACCTACAATTAAAACAGTCTCCCAAATTAAACCAGAAGCAATCTGAATACAAACTTTCTTTTGAACAATTGTTAGATTAACTCAGTGTTTTCTTCACTTCAAGGTTTAAAAAATATTTGTTGAATTCATTTTAAGCTAGTCAATAAGCTTAAATAAGGCTTCATTCCTTGATCTGGGTTCACTTTGGGGTTTACTTTGTGTTGATTTTCAAACTGCTCCCAAACATATATTCCTTTTTTCAAGTGAAAGTGTAGAAGTGCATGGCAGAGCAGTATGGAGTGGTCGAGTTATCACTGGTTCCTTTCAATCATGCAAGCTGACTCTAAGCTGAAAATGAGAGAGTCCTTGCTTTCTAGTTTGCCATGACAATGACAGTATTTACTCATAAATAAATACTTATAAGGATAGAAATATTTTTTAAGGGTAGAAACACTTGCAATACAGTGACCCCAGGGATTTCAAGGGTCTTGAGTGGGCTAGCTGGAGCATCCTATGTGATGGACTGTGAAATACATAAGCAGGTACAACCAAGAGATGGAGCAAGGTTGCTTGGGAGAGAAAAGAGCACTGGGCCATGAGGCCATAACGCCTTGGATTCCATTCCCTAGTGTGAAGCCCACCTCTCTGCACTACTGGACAAATCACACACCCAGCTGCCAGTCTCAACTGTCACATCAGGAAAATGGAGGAGGGGGGCAGAACAATACATTTATAAAACTCCTTCTGTTCACTAAATTGCTGGGGTTCTCAATTATGACTCTGAAATGGAGCTATTTGGGAAGGAAGGAAGGGGAAGAATGAAATAAAGAAGGAAGGAAGCAAGCAAGCAAGGAAGTTAGTTTTGAATTAACAGTGGTGAAAAATTGAAAATGAGTGAAACATCCAGAAATATAGGAATGGTTAAATAAAACAGGCTACATCCACATGATAGTATAGTATGCAATTATTTAAATGATGCGAATAAAGAGTTTATAATGCTTTGGGGGAAAAGCACGAATACTAAGGAGGCCCCGTGTGAGCCCTGGTTTATCAGCACTCTGCTAAGCTCCCCTTGAACTAGCCTTTTCCCACAGCTCTCAGGATGGCTGACATCATCCCCATGAAATGTCCCGCTCAAGATTCTACAGAACTGCACTAATTAATCAGAAAAAGAATGGTTTACACAATGAGTCCATCTGAGACACATTCAGATTGAAATGACATCTTGGTCCCTCCACATGGAATGTCTATTTTCCCCCAAACATGTTGGTGGCTGTGAGGACTCAGTTCCCACCACTAGGGTGTGCCTTCCCAACTTCCCAGTTGTACACAGGTGGGGTGACAGGAACAATAGGACCCCTGGTTCTTGCACCACTAAATCAAGAAGGAGGGCTTCATGCATGCTCTACCACTAACCTATACCCCAAGCCTTTTAATTTTTTTATTTTGAAACAGGACTCACTAAACTGTTCAGGCTAACCTTGAACTTGTGCTTGTTCAACTTCAATCTCCAGAGTAGCTGGGATTACAGTCATGCGCCCCCACTCCCTGAAAGTATACATTTTAAATCTCAATGCTCATTTCAGAAACAGCAAAACAACCCCTATTACTTTCCCTCTGTTCCATTTCTTTATTTCCTTCATTCACAAGACTTTATCAAAGCTGCTTAAATACATAAGAAATGTCCAATTTGGGGCATAGGTTGTGGCTCAGAGAAAAAGCACTCGCCTAGTATGCATGAGACACTGGATTCCATCCTTAGCACCACATAAAAACAAAATAAAGGTATTGTGTCCACCTACAACTAAAAAAATAAATGTTAAAAAAAATCTCCAATTCAAAAATTGGAAAATGATGCAGTGGGTGCTACCAGCTAAGGCAGTATGATAGCATTCACTTAGGAAAATCCATTTTGGATCAATTTGTTATTTCTGACTCAGCCATTAACTGAGGCTAATCTGGGATGAAAAGGGAGAAGCTATCTTACTATAAATCCCGCTTTTTTTTCCCTCTAAGCAAAATGTCTGACTCAAAAGAATTTTTTAGAAAGAAGAATGCAGAGTTGGAAATGCATGATTTCAACCTCAAGAAAAATAAAAAAAAGGTAAACTAACACCAAAATTTAAGCATCAACTTATGAATGGTGGTTAATGTGAGGTGATTAAATTTTTCTTTTTTAAATAAAGTTTTCTTCTCTGTACTGTATTTACTAAATTTCCTACCACAGGAAGTAAGAGGAGAGGTAGAGAAGAGGTGAGGGACAGAGATAGATATAGAAATTACTGGTGAGAGTCTCTAAAGTGGCCCTCTGGAGCACAGCTGTGCAGGGCCCCCTGAGTTGTCTAGAGGTTTCTTCTGGGTGCCCGAATGCTAGCTTGACTGTGCTCAGGCCCCACCCTGGCTCTCACAGCTGACCACTTCCCACTCCATTGAACACACATGAGCCTGTCACTTTCGGTTCCACTTGATTTCCACTTACCCTTCTAGCAGGCTGCCACAGAATCCTCTTGGCAACCTTCATACTGGTTTCCATGGATACCCTCCACTCTCAGACAGGCGGCTGCACAGAGCAGATGGCCGTTGGCATTGGGTGGGGAACAGGCTGAAAGGGCATCTGAATCTCGGGCACTCTGAATCCTCTGTTTGTCCCTGTCCCTAATACACCACACACACACACACACACACACACACACACACACACAAGCACAAACACACCATAGTCATGTTTAGTTCTGGCCTTGACAAGGAACTCATCACATTTCAAATATCACAAATACTATGTATGACAATTGCTAACATTTGTGGAGCATCTACTCTGAACCACATACCTTGCATACAAGGGAAGAAAATAATCTACCAGGATAGTTGAAGGAGTTCAGTGTTTCTGACCCCATTCAGTGGGGCCAATTCTTTTTTGAATTAGTGTGAACTATTGATGTGCAAAAACAATTTTAGAAGAATATTTAAATTTCAGGTTCCTGGAAAAAGAAATTGAAGCTCAGAGACTTGAAATAACTTCACCAAGGTGACACAAATAGTAAATTTCTGAGGCTGGGATTTGAGCTGACGTCTTCTGATCCCAAGACATTTGGCTGATCCACTGCACTGTGGTTAACAATCAGTAGCCATGGCTACAGCAGTCCCCACTATTCACTGAGGACATGTTCCCAGACCCCAGAAGATGGCTGAAACTGCAGACTGAGTGGGGCCCCACATATACTATGTTTATTTTTAGGTATACACACCTATGTTAAAGTTTAATTTAAAAAGTAAGGGAATAATAACAATACCTAATAAGCACAGCAATGATAATATACCATAATAAAATTGGTAGCATCACTATCCTTGTTCTTTGGGGTCATTAATGAGTAAAATAAGGGTTACTTGTGACACTCCCCACAGTCAATCTGATAACTGAGACACCTAAAAGTAACTAATAGGTAAGGTGGTGTACAGTTGGAACATGCTGGACCCTGGGCAAAGGGATTGTTTACATCCTGAGCAAGATGGAGGGGGATAGCGTAAAGGTCATCAAGCTACTCAGAAAAGCATGTGATTTAAAGCTTATGAATTATTTATTTCCGGAATTTTCCACTTAATATTTTTAGACCAAGGTTAACTGCAGGTAACTGAAACCATGGCAAGCGAAACCATGGATGGGGGGGGGGGACTCTACACTAATTTCCCTTGATTGCTCACTTTTTCTACAGAACTTTTCCCTCTTCCATCACCAACCCCATTCCTAAAGACATTCATGCATCTGCTGATTTGTCCTCTCCCCTCTCCCTAGCTCCAGGGCCAACACTAGCACCATCTTCATTATCATTACTATCACCATCATCATCATACTTCCCCTCATGATTGAAGTAGAAGCTATCACAAAAATCAGGATGTCCCAAGCCCTGGACCTCTAGTCATTTCCCCAAAGTCTAGGTATGTCTTCTTCATAAGAAGAGCTTAACAAGTATGAACTGACTGACTGACTGAATAAATAAAGTAACACTCTGCCAAAATTCCTTCATGGACGCAGATTGGGACAGTGGTTATAAAGTATCACCTTCTCACAAATGCAGTCTAGATTAGGAGGATTCTGATGTGCTAAAAGGTACCCCAAAGAATGGGGGTGTTATGGGCTGAGGATGTGGCTCAAGTGGTAGCACGCTCGCCTGTCATGCGTGCGGCCCAGGTTCGATCCTCAGCACCACATACAAACAAAGATGTTGTGTCCGCCAATAAATAAATAAATATCAAAAAAAAAAAAAGAATGGGGGTGTTAGATGAGATTTCAGCAGCTAGAATGAACAAACCTCTCTCCAGTCCAATCTCCTTTGGAGCTACATGAGGCGGGTGCTTCTTTGAGGAGTCCTAAGTCCCCCAGGATAGAGATCTTCTGTGATACTCTTGGCTGCTAGATTCTAGGCAGATTGATTACTTTCCCTTGATTATTTTAATACCATTTATTCCTTGTCTATTTGTTTTAAAAGCCTTGTTCTAACTCCCAAGAGAACCCCATACAAAATGGTCACAGCAGCCAGAGACTAATATTATTTCATAATGGTGAATCCTGTATCTTGTATTCTTGGTTGCCATGAGAGATGACTTACTTACCCATTATACATAAAGACAAAGAGGCTCTTACACTTACATAGCTTCCGGCTGCTTCTCAGCTGTAAGGAAACAAGAGAGTGACTATGTCCATTTAGGAAGGTTAAATGATGTGCTGAGTAAGGCCCAGTCAAACCAACTATTCTCAGGCATTTGTTCAGGTACTATTTGCTACTTAAATACAAAATCGGAAACCTGGCAGCCCAGTGTTCTCTTCTCAATAGCAGAGGTCAGAAATTGGTAAAATATGGCCTGCAAGCCACATTCAGCTCTCCACCTGGTTTTGTTTAGCCATGAGCAAGGAAAGGGTGTTTATTTGTTTGATTCTTTGTTTGTTTTGGCAGTACTGGGGATTAACCCAGGGCCACCCACATGCTAGGCAAGAGTTCTACCACTGAGCCCCAGCCCCACCCCCCCAGGAATGTTTTTTGTGGATTGATATTTGCAATAAATTTAATGAAAGTCAACACTAATTTTGAACCCCAACTCAGCCAATATTACTTTCCTAAAAAATCCATTCTTCTCATTAACAGACCTATATTACATAAAATTATTCCATTATTATTATTATTTTTAATTTTGTCACTAAAAATTTTTGAGAAATTTGTTTTCTCTCTAATTTTATAAGTATATACATAATATTCTCAATTCTGCATGTTGGCCTACAAAGCCTCTAATATTTACATTCTGTCCCTTCACAGAAAGTTAGCCCATCCCTGGTCTAAACTGAAGCTACCTTCCCAGACTCATCCCTGCCAGGTCAGTCCTTACCCTTGGATGCTTGTCATATCTGAAGGTCTGTGGCTCCCCATAGGCAAGCCTAATTCTCCATGCCCAGCAGCCCTCCTGACTAGAAAGTGCCACCTCACTGCCTGCCTGATTATTTTGTTTTATCTACTGAATCCAGAAGGCTTCCTTGATGCTTCAAGTCAGAATGGGTAGGATGACTGCTCAAAAAGCACAAAAAGTCCTGTAAGGCTTAACCAAGTTTGCTGTAGGTCAGAGTTCACATTGTGGCTCTCTTCCATGTTAGACAGAAGTGTCTCTGGACAGGAAGCTACATGTGTACAGTAGGAGATTGACAAATGTCTGCTTCAAAGTGGAATAACCGATTGGAAATGAATAATGAAAAGCTAACCTGACTCCTTTTGAAAGAGTGATCTAAGCACCCAACTTATTGTCTGGCTTTTATTTTTGCCAGTGCCTTAGGCATTTGCCTGCCTTCAGAAGGGAGGAAGTGGCCTCTGCAAAGCAAGGTTATGTTAAGTTAAAAGGATGGAAAATTGTGGGTGACTATGTACTACAGGAGTATAGTTGAGAAATGATACTCCATCCTTAGTGACCTTGATAATACTCTCTTCTCATGTCACCAGGCTGTGGGGTGTGGCACTGGTGGGCAACGATACTCCCATTGACAGGCCCACTGACATTTCTCTCCCACTTTTATTATACCTTTACTCCTCATTTTCCCTCTCCCTGTGCCCTCTGAATAGATCTGAATTGCATATTTAATCCAGTGGCCCACTAAATCTTCAAGGGAGAAATGGTCAGGTCCTGCTCCCCACTGGAGACATTCTGCACGCATTGGTTGGGCAGTCTTTTGTGTCTGGACTACAGAGAGGGATAAAAGCACAAGGGTCAAGCACTGCCTTCAGGGAACTTAGGCTGAATGGACTTTCTTGTACAGCTCGGCAAAAATCCAGTGAGGAGTCCTTAAGGTTCCTGTGCTTTGGGGGGAGATACTGGCAAAATGTCAGAGAAGCACAGAAAGATCCTCAGCAGGGAAGTCATTACAGCCCACGAAGGAAATGCTATCCAGAGCTCGCACACAATCAACCCACACTCTGGTGGTTCCTAGGAAATTCAAACTCCAGACTTCAGTAAAAATTAGATAATAGTACTAAGCACAAAAATAGTTCTTATTTCATTTTCAGAGAAGATTTAAGCTTGTTAACAATCATTCTTTTCTAATTGCTCTCATTAAGATTCTAATTTTATGTTTCTTGTTTTATGCATGCAATGATTTCATGTGTACAGCCTGGCAAGAGGCTGGCCTCCCATTTAATTAATATTTACATAGGCAGATTATAAAATAGTGACTCAGAAATGGTTGCTGGAGTAAAAATGTCCATAAAAAAAATCTTTTCTGAGCATTTTATGGTTCTTTTCCCAAAAGTTTCGAGTTCGTGCAAACAGAAGAGCAAAGGGGCTTCTTCCTATTAGCCAAGTGGCACTCAACCTACCAGGAATAATAGTGATGAGGCTAATTGCCATTTATTAAGTGGTTATAAAATATGGGCTAAGCACTAGATAAATACTGTACATACATCACTTATCCTCTTGTTCAAATAAAATCTTTTAAGCAGCTACTAAACACCCTGAACTAGGCTAGGAGCTGAGGTGCAATGGTAAATAAGGCAGGTAAGAGTCACTGACTTAATAAAATATTAATATCGTTCAACAGCCTTACAATGTAGATACTATTCATTCTATTTTATGAGTAAGGGAACAAAATCAGAAAAGAGTGATTAAGTAATCAAAGTTTTACAGTTAGTATGTGGTATGTAGGATTTGAACCCCAAGTCCCAAATACAGCAGGACACTTGAAAGAAGAAAGTACTGTACCTCAAATGGCCTTCTGTACCCGTAGTTCATTGTTAAGGACCTCGGGAAGGGATATATAGTTTCTAATTCTTTCCCTTCCCAGTGGAACTGAGTCCTGTGCTCTGACACACTGCACAGGTACAGCTAGCTCCTCTAGGGAGTATTTCAGAACCCATAACCCACACTCAGAGTCCCCTTGACCTCCCTCAACTTCTCCTGCAAATTTCTATTACGGCAATGACTACCATTACCGTAATTTTCTTCCCATGCGTTTCTCACACTAGACCAGGAGCTCCTTTAGGACAGGTACCAAATTATCCACGCACAGTCCCTCATCCGAGAAGGAATAGATGTTGCCAGATAAATAAATGAAAGACTTCCCTTGGTAACCTACTCTGCCTCATTCTCTCAACAACAACAACAACAACAAAAGCAGCCAGCACTTACTGGGACAGGCACAGGCTGTGCACAAACATGAACTCTCTCCATCTGCATCATGACTCTGTGATGCTGCACTGTCCCATTTGATGAGAAAAATCAAAGCTTCCCCAAGTTTTTTAAGTTAAGTTTTTTAAGTTAAAAAGGCATGCTTCACACTGAGTTTTAGTGGTCACTAAGCCCTTCACCGGCTACCAGACACCTCCCAGGATGCAAACAATCATTCTTTCCACAATCTTCCAAAGAATTAACACCCCCTGTAGTGCCTCTAGAGAACGCTGGCCCTGATTTTAACCCTCACCAGCGCCTGCCTGGACTTAGTTACATGCATCCATGTTATCTCCCTCATGAGAAGCAGTCTCCATCAAGCAGAGATCATATACTCTTCATCAAGGATCTTCATGGCCCATAGTCCCAGCATATTCTTAAGATGTTGCATTGAACTTGGAATAAAAATATCAAGCACACTTATTATTGTGAAATTATGATCAAATAGATCTAACCTAATTTCTATTTTCACAGCATGAATCAATCCTTAAAAGATAGAAGGCTTACAAAATGTCACTATGAACTAAAAACCCTGAAGGAGAGGAAAGATTTAGAAAAAGATAGGAGGAAGGCAGGAAGGAAAACTGTGAGTGAAACCCAGGCCTGGAGAAGTGTGGGCTTTGGGAGAGCCCATCTTAGGCTATGGTTTGGCCAGAGCACCCCTGGGGTCCCTGTGATTTTCATGTGCAACCAGGGCTGAGAACCCCCAGGAAAAAACATCAGGTATTTAAAAAACAAAACAAACAAACAAACAAACAAAAAACCACAATTAGCAATGAATAGAAAGGTTAGAAGCATAAGATAGGTCAGATTCTGGCAGGCTTTGACTGCAGACCCAAGGCTGGGCCTTGCACTGGAGGGAAGGGGATCCAGAGACATTTTAGGACAGGGAATGGCAAGAGTACTTGTCCCTCCCCACTGCAGAAACAAGGAGAATGGCAAGGGCTTAGGACAGTGAGGAAAGATGGCATGAAGGCTGAGGATGGCAGCAGCCCCCTTGAGGATGGTGTCTTAATGGGGGTCTGCTTGAGCAAGATACAGCTGTGGTCTGGAATGAGGAGAACCAGATCTCTGAGCCATCTGGCCACTGACAGCCTGTGTGATCTCAGTCCCCACACCTCCATAACTCTATTCTTCATCTTTAGAGATAGAGATGTTTACCTTAAAAAGCCAATAAGAAGTCTAAATAAAAAGACATGCTTAAGTGTTTGGCACAGAGTAAGCACTCAGCAAATGAGGTCAAAGCTCAATTGTCTCAGTTCTTTCTAATATTCTCTCTTTGGCATTTTTTCCTTGTCTACCTTTCTAATTATAATGCTTTAGTGGTGATCAATCTTTAAAGGATAGAAGTCTTGCAAAAAATGCACTCTAAGATATGTCACACATGGCCGATTTTTGAAATCACTGTGGGAAATGGACAATGACCACAAGGGAGTAGCACTGTAGAGGAGGGAGTATTTCAGGGAGGTACTCGTGGGTTTTGCGGCCTGAGGCTGGGCACAATTTTTCCAACAAGAGAAGTTACACCGGCTTGGTCCTGCAAAAATCTCTTCATTCATCTGGAAAGCTACACAGTGATGGAGACCATGCTAGAATAAGCGGGGATATTGAGGACTGTCATTACTGCACACAGCCAGGGGTACTGCCCAGGGCTAACTGGCAGGAGCTGGGATGTAGAGGCAGTGGAGGAGGGTGGACAGCAAGCAGAAGCCAATGCCAATCCTTCACTGACTGCTCTCCCCTCTTCTCTGAGGTCTAACTGCCTGCTGGGCTCTGGCTTCCATGTCCTCATCCTCTCTATTCCCTCCCAGCCCAGCATCCATGAGTTCGATTCTCACCAACAGGTTTGTGTTGTCCAGATCTTTCTTTTTCTGTTCTGCCTTTTCTCTTGGGCATCAAACTACACTTCCATTTAGTTTGTATTTTGATTTTATTTTTTGTTGAGGTATAACATGCCTAGAATAAAGTCCATAAGTGTTTACTGTTGCATGTGTAGAACCATCTAACTGCCACTCAGATCAACATACAGAACCTTCCCAATGCCTCAGAAGGTTCGTCTAAGCCAATACCTGTCTACCCATCCCCCACAGAGCTTCCAATATCCTAACTACCACTATCATCCAGTACTTTTTTTTGTACTGGGGATTGAACTCAGGAGCACTCAACCACTGAGCCACATCCCCATTTTATTTTTATTTATTTTGTATTTTATTTAGAGACAGGGTCTCACTGAGTTGTTTAGTGTCTCGATTTTGCTGGGGCTGGCTTTGAACTCTCAATCCTCCTGCCTCGGCCTCCCCAGCC